ATGGAACTTGGTATTCATCCCAGACAGAATTATGATTGAATGTATTTGCAAGATTAAAGCACTGAATTTACTTCTTTCTAATTAAAGGCAATTAAAGATTTGCAGACACAAATAAAAGACAATGAATTGAGGAATAAGTGTAGAAGCAAGTCCATTTGCAGGTGAAAAGAAGTGCCTTTGAAGCAGAACCAGCTGTATTTTCATTGAAAGAATAACAGTTTAGGAAGCTTTTCTGCATGTGCTTGCTTGATAGCATAATGTACTCATAAGCAGCTTACGCAGTACAGTATTCAGAAAATAGCAGTGCATTAATTTTTAAAGTAGCAAATGCAGGCGAAGAGCAATGCTGCCACATGATGATAATGAAGGTGGATATTGTAAAGTCTGCTGAGAGAAAAGAAAGCAGGGAGCTCGTGAAATGTGAACATTTATAAAACAATAACTAGATATTCATATGATAATAAGCTTGGACAGCAGCATCAACAAAGGCCAAAGATGCAGTCCTGTTTCTGCTTAAGCCTGATGAATTGAAAAGCAGAGAGGCACTCTTTAGTCTGTTATTCAATTCCAGTAATGAGCTATTGTTAGAATGAGAGAGTAAATATCTAGAAGGGTTGGAAATACTTTTTTTTTTTTTTTTTTTGGTGAAGTTATTCTGTAGATTTTTTCAGGTTGTGTCTTAAACAGCAGCATCTTTAAACACAATCCTAAAAGTAGTCAGTTTTCTGTAATACAGTGCTCAACATCCTGCATTCTCGGTCGCACATATAAAGGACCTTGGTATGTATGCAAGGGTACAGTGTTGTGCAAACTACCTGGCAGTGTCACAGTATTTCTGTAGACTAAAAAAAAAAAAAATTAATCCAGAACTTAAATGAACTTGCCTTTTACTTTGTTTTTTGGCATTTATCATCATGTCATTGGAGGTTTTAATTAAAAAGAATACTGAATATACAAGATCAGGCCATCTCTAATATGTTATTAAAATTACTGAATAGAAGATGTATGGGATCTCAATTTTCCTTGTAAGCAGAGGTAAATAAAAAAATCTTGTAAAATTCATAGATTTTTATTCCTAGTTACATGAAGAGAAACAAACTCACTTTGCAGAGTGTGTGAATCTCTAATATCCACTCTGAAGGAGGCACCCTTTCTCATTTTTCCCAATATAGCTGTTTTAGTAGCTAAAAAGCTCGCTTATCTTCACCCTGTTCTAATCCTACGGCTAGTAAAATGGTCTTCATTTCTATCCCAGGGAAGTTTTCCAAACAGGATCTGTAAACATGGCTCAGCTTAGTTCAGGTGCTACTGAGGTCACTTTGCCACCAAAGGAGTGGAAAAGAAGGATGGAAGGAAGAGAGGAGGTGCCAGGCAATCTCTGTAGATTCTCTGACAGGCAAAGGCTATTTCATGCACTGGATGGGAAGGTGGATGATCTTTGGAGGCACTGTCAGGAAGTAGGACAAGTAGAGAGCTGTAGTCAGTAAAAATAGTTGCCTTATCATGGAGTACTTTAAATCTTTGGCCTTAAAAATGGAATGGAAGTGATGGGCCTGAAAGAGTAAAGAAGTAGTGCATTTGTTTTAAAATAAATAAATAAATAGCAGTAGTTGTAAAAAAAGTTTCAGGAAGCTGGCACTAGAGTTTAGAGTTTGAGGGAAGAGATGACAAATTGATAACAATAATGACTAGTCAAAGAGATGAGGATTATGTTTAATAGAAAAAGTAAGATTTGGTCTGGAAATCTTCTAGTGGTATCTTTTTGGCTTCTTCTTGCCTTCATATATTCCATCAGGAAAACTTGGTGTATCAGATAGGCATTGGATAAAGCAGACAAATGAAGCTTTGTCTGATGAGTCTGTCTCAACTGGCTTTGATGATCACTTCCTGAGAAGAAGAAATAGCTTAAACTGATGACTCTGACAGATAAATGTACCAGACAGCTTGCAGGGTAAGTGAGATAAAACTAGAAGACATTGAGAGTGTGAATATACTTATCCCAACTGGTTGAATTTGCAAGCCCAAAAGAAGGGAGGCTGTAGGGGCCTGTATTACATTTTTCTGCTTGTTTTCCAGGTGGTAATGATCAGTATTCACATGACAGGATTTTTGCATTTCATTGTTCTTTGTAGTCCTGTAATGCAGATGTCTTTCCCAAGGCCTCAGAAAGTTCACATGTTTTAAGAGTCTTTTTAGTACGATTGCTGAATCTGGTTTTCATTACAAAGAAGTCCACAGATGCCCTTTTTTAAACTTTTGCACTTGATGGACTCAGACGGTTTCCCTACCGTATTTTTTTCCTTTTGGCTATTACATTTAGCAAGGAGAGTGGTAAATTAATAGCAGGTGCATGGATTTGGAGAACTACCAGTTCTAGAGTCATCACTGAAATAGCCTGGTTGTTATAGGAGGGTTAGTTGTTCATATCAGACTTAATATAAATGTGGAAGTATGCTCTAGATAAGTAGATCCAGTCTTAGCTGTAGCCGTGATACTGGAATAAAGAGTAGCAGGGCGCCAAGGGAAAGAGCACCAGTAAGCTTTCTCACTTGGATGAGTAAACATGGTTCTGCCCATACATGTATTTCACAGACTGGGTCTTCTATGCAATATTTGCCCCTGCTCATGTCACCTTCACATTTGAGCTGTGGAGAAGAAGAGGGAGAATTGGCAATGGGAGGAAAGGGAGGTGGGTTTTACTGGCTGACTTGTGTCCCATTCCTAGTAGACCTTACCAGGCTTTCTAGTTTTCATTATCTAATGCTGTTGCATCACTGGAAGGGAAATTTCTGACTGTCTTGTTTCATTTAGCTCTGATGGAAAAGCAGCAAACCTGAATTATGAGAACTGAGATTTAACTTAGTGCTTGTCAGTTATATAGTTCTAAATGAAGATATTTTTCATACTTAAAACATTTCAGATTGATACATTTCTATAGTTTGTTCACAAGTAAGTAAGAACAGCTGCATCACTTATGAAAGTTGGCTCGCAACAAACAAACAAAAAAATTCAAGGCTGGGGTGTGTCTATGCCAAATTTCAGCCTGGAATGTATTTTTATGAGTAATGAACTCCTGCCATTTGTAATGGAAATTCAGAAAGATCTTTTAACTATTTCATGGCAAAAGTATGCATGTGAGACTTCAGGGAGAAGAAACACATTCTGGCTGATGTCATCTCATGACTTAGCCATTTTTGTGGTTTCTGCAAGTCTTTCTCCAGCTGTTCTAAAAAATTACTGTACTCTCTGATGCATCCTACTATCAGATATTACTGACTTCTGAAAAATAGTGCTGCAGTGGTCCTGTCCTGCTAATAAGATCTATTGACTGGATGAATATATTGGAGCCTCTGACATAAATCATCTTTCTGTCATCCTTTCTTCACTCTGTCTTCTGAGTTTCCTTGGATATATGCTGCCTTTTTTTTTTTTTTTATTCTTAATACATATGGTTTCAGTTATTTTTCCATTTGTTATTGAGTATTTTTAAGTTATTTCAAGTCTTTCATGAATAATATCTGACCAAAGAATAGTATGGAGACTTTCCCAATATATAATCCATAGAACTGAGGAGAGATTATATAATGAAAGCAAATTTGTGATGCAAGTTCAGCATTCATGTTATGCTACACAGGCAATCTCTGTATTGAGTATGAGCAGGGTGATACAAGGAGCAGACAAAGTCAGAAATGGGTTTCCATGAATCCAATGTATTACTGGAAAGAGATATTCACATTTCAGAATTTCATCACTACACAGTAATATCCCAGTTTTCAAGGTAGCCATAAAATGAGAAGTTTGCATTGTTGATTATGAATGTAAAATCACATCTGCTTGGATAAACAGGATTTTGTATACAAAACCACTGGATAAAGTTTTAGAGGAAAAGTTAAACTATTTGACTGTAACATCAATGAAAGCTAATATACAAATAGGTAAACTTAGTGATTTAAAATAGGCCAAACACTCTGCTTTAAGCATTATAGTTTAGCTTTGGAATTAGGCCTAAAGAAAAAAAAGATATGTATGCATTAGGAGGGAAAAAATAAAAAGGACTGTTTTAAAAAGCCAAAGCAGTTGTACTGAGGCTGTATCCCTCTGAGCAGTTTCTTCACAGATTCTTCGTTTTCTTCTCCTTTTGTGACTATCTGTACTTCTGTTAACTGAAAGAAGCTGTGGTTAGTAGTTCATAATACAACAGTAACAGGCCTTTCAGACAGCAGAAATATCCCTGAGAGATGTCAGGTGTTTTATGCTCGTTAATAAGTTGAGATAAATGATTTATACCATTTTTGCCATTTCTGAATGCTTACATGTCCTCCTCTGAACTCAGTTCATATGGAGTCAGTGTAATCAAGCCCTGGGCTGCACTGTTTGTGGCTGCAAGAGATAGCTCCTGTAACTTGTAGAAAGTTAATCTAGAAGATTTTGTGTAACGTGTTTCTACAAGCAGATGGTGTTAAGCAATGATTTTATTAGCATTTACTTAGACTGTCTCCATATCTCTGACTTCTGATGCCTGCAAATAATGTTCCAGTTCAGAATTACAAACCTTTACATTCAACAGAATGTCTTGTCTTGCACATTTATATGTGCATTAGAGATGACTAGGCAAGAAAAATTCTAATGGAAATTTTTGTTTTGATTTCAATGAGAGGGACAAACATAATCTACCTTTAATCTACTTATTTGCTGACTGATTCCTATGGACCAATTTATTAAACATTGTACTAGTGGATATCTATCCATAGATGTATTTTGATGTCACTCTGGAGTAACAGGTTCTACACTGATTTGTCAGATCTTGTTTCTGTCACTGTCTGTGTTAAGCATGGTTGTTCCACACATTGAATCCCTGTGTGACAGAGTAGCTGTTGTTTGAAATGCTGGACTGTGGGATGTTTTTAATATGTTGAATCTGACTTTTCAACTGAAACAAATGCTCACATTCTTTGTATTATTTTTATGTTGTTTTCATTGAATATGCTTTTTTACTCTAGGGAAACAAGATTATAAGAAAACCAGGCCTATGTTAAGAGCTACAAGATTAAAAGCAGAGGCCAAGAAAACTGCACTAGGCGTAAAGGTAGAGATTTCTTTGATAGCTCAAACCACCTTTGTGTTTGTTTCTTTTCCCCATAGATGTACTGTGTGAATATTGATTTCTGAGAGATATTGTTTATGACACTTCTAAATCTAAGTAGAATGCTAGAATCTAAAATATTTATGATTAACTGCTTTTACTTAACCCTAAAATGACTTGAATGTTTGTAGTGCTGAAAGATTTTAGGTAGTCTATGTCCTTGTTATGATGCATGCTTACTTTAAGGTTTAAAGTACTGTGTGCTCAGAAAACTGATGGTTTTAGGGAGCCTGTCTACACACAGAACAAATTCTTTAACTATTTCATATAGTTAGACAAATTACAATAAACATTTCTCATGTTCCTCTTCTCATCCTCTACCAGTAGTAATTTAAAGACTGGGTTTGTTAAGTATTGTTAATTCTCAGCATTATTGTCTCAGTTTGCATCCTTGTGTACTGCTTCTGACTTGCAAAAAGAAGGCTTAACTAACAGCAAAGGAAAGCATATGGAAAAGTACTAAACTTTATTTTGAAAATGTTCCCTTTTCAGGCAGGTATGAAGTATAACAATTATTTTAGATCACAGCTGTGAATATGAGCAAGGAGGACAATTGGAAATATTCTTGGTTATCTACTACCTGGTGTGTCATCAAAACAGGATCTATCTGAACACACATTATTTATGTTGCCTCCAGTATTTTTTCCTCAAATTTATTTTTTTTAATCTAACTGATACACTATTAACAGCAAGAGTAAAACCTGAGGACAATAAAAAAGTAGATCCATTACCTGAGTATTCTAGTAAAAGAAACTTCAGAAATGTTAAAAGGAGAACATTTTCTTGTTGCTGGCAGATGAGAAATCAATTTTTTCAAGTTATAGCTTATAGCAAATGCCAAGGTATTACTACCAAGCTGTAACATCTGTTAGGCTGCCAGATGATGTATTTGGTTGTCTTCCAGAATTTGCTATTATAATCACGAAACAGTGCTTTCTTTTTGCTCCTGATTGCTGATCTCGATCAAGCATTACCGTGTGATGCAGTATGTTTTCACAACATAATCTCCTCAGTTAGTGCTGTGTGTCAGGTTTTAATGAGAAAAAGTAGATTGCCTTTTTTGTTTAAAGGATAAATTATTAACCTTTTGAGTTCCTTTTCCTTCTTTTCTTATTAAATTTTCCTTTTTGTTTTCATTTTTCTCTCAATGGCGTGACCTTTTAAAAGTGATGTTCTACTTGGAGGCTTAGTGTACAGCCTAATTCTTTTAAAATGAACATGTTTTTGCATGTCTTTCACAAGTGAGAAGAGTATGAGATTTAGTCCTTCAAAACCTGTTTCATTTCCTTGTTTTCTTAAGTAATTATTTCCTAAAAATGAGGGTGAATGGGAAAGCATAAGTGTAATCGTATATGTAATGAAGAATTGAGTATTAGTGAATAAAGGACTTTTGCCATCAAGGTGCACATGTGCTCTCCAGGTCCTGAATGTGTGTGTTTGTGTTTCTGGGGTTCTGCTAGTTGTACTGTGTGATGTCTCAGGTTTACAATTCTGCTTTTGCCTTAAAAAAAAAAAAAATAATTCTTTCAAATATCTTCTTCTGGCTCTAATATGTTTTTGTGCTTCTGGACCTTAAAAAAAAATCTGGATCATCCCCAAATAGATCACAGTCATTTATTTTGCTTCCAAATTGCTGAGAAAAGCTGACAGAGCTGAAGCAAAAAAGAAGGCAAGTTGGGCACCTTTCTCTTTGGGGATTTGCTTGTAGGGGAAGGAAGGCAGGGCTTTTAAATGCATGCTTTTCGCTGAGCCTGCTTAATGCCAACAACCTCAGGCTTAGTAAATGTTACAATACTTCTGCCAGAACCTGGGCAATTTCTGTAGAGTAAACTGTGCACTTCTGCTTACAGAACCCACAGTGCTCAGCATGGAAGCAAAGTGTATTTAATGTCTTGAGGTAAAGGTGCACCTTTCCTACCTCACAGTGACAGCTCTTCACCCTGCTCAATCCCTCCAGGAGCAGAACTTCACCATGGGCAGTAGATGGTTCTGAAGTGTCTGTAGGGAAATCTCCTTCCTTACCCCTGGAGAGGCTGCTTAGTTGTGAAGCCCCATAACCTATATCCCTCTCTTGAGCACGTCTTGTTTTGCTCAGTCTGGCGTTAAGATGCTCCAGCTGTCAAGTGCCACCTTTTTACATCCATCCTCCACAACTATCCTAAATCCTCCTCTGTTGTGGTCTGGGTAATTTTTGAAATAATTCTTGACAACTTGTTTGGTGTGACAGCACCTGGCAGGACAGAAGAGAACGCAATTTGTTCTTCAGATCCATGACCAGTTGTCTCAATGCCCTGAGGTCCCCCTTCATCATCCTTAGTCTTGTTGCGACTTTGTATGTGTCCACCTAGAAAACCAGTGGGCAATAGTCAGTGGGCCATGCCAAGCTGGGAAGTTTGTTGGTGATTTCCCCACGGCTCACACACCTCCCTATAGGCTGGGTCCAGTTGGCATATTGGGCCCTCCATTCCTCTCAAAAGGGAGTTCACCAATGTACCAATATTACCCTTATGTTTTTCTTAATTGAGGAGGTTTTGATATGCAGGGTAGGTTGTCCTGCCCTAGGCAACCCCTCTAACCTGGATGGATCCTCATTCACATTCTCATCTCCCTGGTCTTCAGATTCCAGGGCCTCATATCTGTTGTTTAAGGGCACCTGGAGAGGTGAGGGTAGGTCAGCAGGGAATTCACCTGCCAGCCCAAGCAGAAACCCATTTCCACTCCCCACTGTCTCTTAAGAACTCCTTCTTTTCCCTGGGAGGAGTAATGGTAATAAGCAACATGATTCATCTTCCAAAGGCTGGGATGTTAGTATTTTTTTTTATTTTGTAGGCCCTAATTCTGTGTTGTAGCAATTGATTAACTTAAATCTGTGTTGAGAGAAAAAAAAATCATATAACTACAATGCAATGTAATAAATAGGCACTTTAAATAGAAATGTCCAAAGTTCTTGTAAATCTTTGAGAAGAAATCAGACACATGTGTGTGTTTCAAATGTACTTTGGTTTTATATGTATCTATTCAGTACATGATGCAGTATGCAGCATTTCAAAATAATCTAAAAAGCTAAGTTGAAGCTAATAAAAATATTGTAGAGGAAGGATAAATGTAAAAGTATAAACTCTCTGGGAAAGGGGAATATGTTTGTAGTTCTGTGAAATACATACACACAATAAGCTAACACAATAAGCACCATACAGCCACTTAAAACAATAGGCTTTTTTATGTCATTGATAACTCTAGGGTTGTTTTGCATTAGTGTCCTGAAGAAATTACGTGCCTGGCTGTAAACTAAGACTTAGTGTAGTATTTAGGGCAGAAAAAAAAGGACTAGAAATTAGTGAAGGGATTTTAGTCCTTAATTTTTACAAGGATAATGAAATTCAACTGTTGTGTATTTCACCATGAGAACTGACAACATTAGCTTAAGAAAAGGCCCTATAAATGACATAAAACTTTTGAGAACCAATCCCCTGGAGATTCTTCACATTTCATCGCTGGCATACTAATTAGCTTGTCTTGTCAAACTTTGATTGCCTTGTCATTTTAATGCAAGGTTTAAAGTAACAAAGTTTCTTTCAGTCACTGGCATTTAGTAGTTTTTAATTTCCCCAATGAGGAATTTTTATCTGTGTTGATAATGTCAGAGAAGCAGCTGAGCACTAATAACTATCCAAAGTTAGTTCAAGCAGGGTGACCATGCTAGTACTTGGTGTGTCGTATTTGCTCTTTAAACATGTTTAAAGATTAAATATTGTAGCAGAGCTATTGTACTGGCTCTGTTTGTATATGTGACACTAATGTAGACAGTGCCAAAATACATTGTGTCTCTTGGAAAAGCAGGACGCAGTCTCAAGAAACAGCTCCAAGAGAAAGCAATGTGCTATATGTCTCCTGGTGTTCAGATAAGAAAAAATCCTTTGTAGCAGTACCAAAAAGGGAGCTCTGAACTTTCTCTGGGTCATTTTGTTGGCCTTCTGTATGGGGCTTGTGCTGCTGGAAGCCCAGCTGTTCATCCTTACCAAGTAGAGCAGGAAGGCCTTTCCACCGCTGGTGCTAGCTCTGCTCTCATTGGGTGAGGAAAACATGCCAGCAGGAGGGTGACAAGCAGAAAATGGTTTGAAAAGTGTGGAAGCGTGGCCCCCAGATTGCTGGAGTTTGGTATGCAGAGACCAAAAGTTATGGGAGCTCTTGGGGAAAGATTTTTTTCACAGGCTGCAAGAACAAATTAGTAATCCATGGGACAAGTGATGAAGCTTTATCTCTTCTTGAAAGGTAGGCACAAATCGTAACAGTACTATTTGCAAAGTGCTTGCAAAGACATTACTGACTGCAGAATATCACTCCAGAGAGAATTATTAGCAACACAGTACATCGATGCAGCTAAGGAAAAAATGTTTCCTAAACAAAGTGAGAACTTACTGTCTGTCATTCTTTTGCATATCTGCTTAATCTGTTGTGTAGTTAGATACCTCACAATGGAGCATTCCTCTCATCTGGAACAAGTTAGATAGGAATAGATAACAACACTTCTGGTGTATTTTAGCAAGGAATATTCTCCAATTTCATGCTGTTCATAATCTGCTAAGTTAGTGAACTACATTTTTCAAGATACAGTTTCATAGCTTTGTAGAAATTAAGGCCACAAGAGACTATTAGATCATTTGATCTGCACTTCTATATGTTACAGATCATAAAATTTCATCCAAATACTTTCTGCAAAGTCCAAGCACTTTGTAATGGCCAAAATACTCGGTCTTCAAACGAACTTACGTGTCTCACAAAATGCAGAGCAGCTTAACGTGCCAGCAATGGATAAAGTATATTCCCACTTATCCCTGTAGTCAGGCTTTGATCCCTGACCTTGAAATGAAAGGGAGGGGAAACAACACATACAAAGAGAAGAACAAAATCAGATCCTTGCCTGACCTGAACACATAAGTGTTGTAATCATGGTGGTTTGAGATGTGAAGAAGATGCACCAAGCAAAATTTTAGGAGTATTTTCTGTACCATCTTTCTCAAACCTTCTTATGTCTCTATTGAGGACCAGTCTGTGGCACTTCAAAGAATAATCAGCTACAGCAAAACCTCAAATCCTAGAAATTAAATCAATACAGTTGGAGAAAAATGTCAGCATCAGAAAACTTGTGATGCTATATAAGAAAGTCTGAGCAGTTAAACATAGGGTGCTATTACTTGTAATAACTTGTGGAGTTCAGAATGTAGCACTGACCATGGAAGTAATCTGGGTTTTCTAGGGCCCTGAAGGAGAGGAGCAGCTAGGAGAGCTGAGTTTGCTGACTCTTGGCAGCCACATCCTTCTTTTCACACAAGCCAAATTTGAAGTATTCTTTCCAATTGCTAAATAAAAACATGCTTTTTTGAGAGAGATCAGATTATAAAGGACTCACAGGTATGAAAGTCCATATTTTCCTGAAGAATGCTCAATCATTCTTGCTCCTAAAAATTGGTATCTTAGTTAAAGGCTGAACTTATCTAACTGCAGCTGGGCCTTGAAAGTTTCTTGTAAACAGGATAAAGGGACCCCACACTGTGAAATGCTTTACTTAAATACAGGTGCATATAATTTTATGCTGTAACCAAACTACCTCTCATTCTTCTCTATGATAAAATAAATACCGGTCATCTCTCTGCTGGAAATCCCTCCACCTTTGTGCATCCAGAAATCACACTGGGGGATTAGTTACCCATCAAATCCAAAGACTTTCTTAGAGTCACAGTTTTTCAAGGCAGAAACTTTATAAGTACTCTACTTTATAAGTACTATATGCATCTTTGATACCTGTATATATTATTTTGCATGTAGCTGTTTTAAAATGAACAACCCTGTTGTTTTGTAGGCATATAGCCAGGTGTTTTCGATGACTCTCTAGTAGTACCTTGTTCTCATTATTTGAGACAACAATGGTTTTTCTTCCATCTGAAATTTTCACAGTAAAATATTGGAACCTAAAAAGTGTGGATAAAAGTTCATAAATTACTTTTGTTGCCTTCTGTTAGCTGTAGAATGTCCTGCATTAAGGAAGTAAACATTCATTTATAAATACAATTTTGTTGAAACTCAAAAACGTGATCGCAGTGAATATCCACCTAAAGTATTCAGTTAAAAACTATATGAGATAAAAAGATTGTCAATTCCTATATATTTATTTTTTACAGGTATACTTGGTCAGCATGATTTTCTTTTCATCTCTTTTCAGAAAGAGCTAGGGAGAATTTAGCAATTCAAATAGAGCAATTTGTGCTACTCTTTCACTTAGTTTTAAGCAGGTTTCAGGTAAAAAGGTTTGATCCTATTTGAAGGGCAATGTTTACATGTTTAAAAACATGTAAAACCCCCCTGACGTTTCCTGGAAGTATGATATTTCTCTATATGTGTAGGATATGAAGCTGCCATACACAGTGTCCAAATTTGTGTTATCATAGCTAACATTTTTTCCTCACCTCCACTCCTGATTAATCTTTTTTAAATCCCAGCTCTGCCACTTGGTCCATCAGGGTGAATTTGAGGACATAATCCAAGTATTTTGGCATGAGAGACATAAAACTGACAAAAAACGATAAGAGAATTAAATCTACATCATGCTGTAATGGTATGCGTTTCTTTTATGAAAAGTTTCTGGAAAACTTAACCAAACTGAAATCAGTAGGGTTCTACATAGGCTGTTCTACATGTAAGAGAATAAAATAGAAAATTCTGTTCCTTTTTACAGTCTTCTATGACTTTACTTTGGGATTTGAGAGTAGAAATGTTGTTTCCTAGTGTTCTGTACCATGATATAAAAGAAAAAAAAAAGGAGAAAAAGCCCTCTGATCATTTTAAGTTTATTTCTATAGAACTTTTTCTCTATTCTTTAATTATTCATAGTAAAATCCTTTGAGTAAATGGATTTTGCAGAGGATGATGGGGATGATCCATAAAGTGCAAGAGAAAGGGAGCTATATATGCCAAGCAGGGAGTATTTTAACATTTCATTTCTATGCATGGCTTAAAATACAAATAGCAAAGCCTGAAAAGTATAAAACAAATTAAAATGACAATATATATCTGTTGTTGCAAATACAGTACAGTGGTGCAGCATCTCATTTGCTATTTACCTTGCAAAATTTATGTTTATAAAAGTCCATAAACTGGATGCAATTCTTAAGAGACTGCATATCCCTAGCTGAGAGCCAGATGTCCTTTGTAAGGCCATTTATTTTATATTTTTGTTACTCTGCGTTTTTCAGTAACTCAGCACTAAGGTTCTTGCATAATTCTTGAACCTGGAGTTTTAGTAAGACTTTTCATTCCCAGGCATAATAAATACAGATCCACCCACACAGTTCCTAGTGGCTGTGCAAGAAAAATAGTATTGTTATCACAGTGTTACTCACTGTGAAACTTAGGCAGAGGAATTAAAGAACTGCTTCTGTCAAGCAGTTACTGGGCAGCCTGAGAATAAAACTCAAGATTTTCCCAATTTCACTTCCTTTGAAACAAATCTTTAATGCAAAGGTTCCTGAAAAGTTTGCTGCTGCTACTCAAAGCATTTCTTAAGGGAGACTGGGGAGAAGGGAGGGGAAAGGTAAACCTATTGTAAAGCAGAAAGCGTGGGAAGTGTGGCATCCAAACAAGGGAAAAACTTTTTAATACTGGAATGAATTTGCTCTCTGTGTCAAGTGTGAACGGTGCCTGCATTGTGCGGTTTTGTTGTCCACTCTCCTGAGCAGATGGAGCCTGCAGTTGTATGTCACTTGTTTATTACATCCTCTTAAGATTAGTAGCTGTGTGGCCAGATGGGTCTGGGTGCACAGCTGTGGATACAAGGAAATAAATGAAACCTGTCTGATGCTGCCATGCCCTTTTGTGAGATACTGACGTGTTGCAACTGCAACAAAGCAAAAATCACTTTCCTTTAATATATGAGTGAATTAAATGTACTTTTTTTTAAATCAAATCATGAAATCAGGAGGATGAAGTTCAGAGGATGGTACAATTCTAAGAGGAAAATGTAGTTGAAATCTGTAGCAAACAACCTCAGCAAATTTGCAGGAGCAATTTTAATGTGGTAAAACAAATTTAAAGTACATCTCAATCATCCATATAAAATAGAAAGCAAAGGTTTCTATAGAATAAAGAATATGCTCCTATAGAACATATGCCAACTAGGCAGTAGTATTTCAAAATTTATTAGATGGCATATGTTGAATTATTGATCCAACATTCTGATAAACTATATAATGCATTCATGTAAATGCAAATTAAATGCTGCTCTATAGAAGAATGCCAGATTATGGGCTAGACTTTTAAAAATGAAATGCACCGTTTTAACTCCTTCATGTCAGTGAACACAATGCTGGTCGCAAAGCCACCACCAACCTAGAGATGCTGGGTGGGATTAATCCCACAGTGCACACAAGAGGTACCATCTGCACTGCCTTCTAGTCTAAGGAGAGAAATGGTAATTTTTGGGAAGAATTCACCTGGCCTCTCTTAGAGGACACAAGATGGACAGATTCTGTCCTTGGACAGTAAAGGGTGTCTTCTTGTCTTGGTTCAGTGTAGGCATCTCTTTTCAGTCCCACTGACAGAGAAGGTTTGATGTGACATCTTCTGTACCAACTCAGATCAGTTATTAAAAAATCACTGAACTTTTTTCTTCTCTCATTTTCAATGTACATTGGGATTGTTCGGATGTAATTGTTTTATAGCTTAACATGAAGCTGAGAATTGGAGGTAAAGTTTTGCTTCTTTCCTTAGAGGGAAAGTGGGGTTTGGAGGTACAGACTAACCTTTGGAGCATCTTGAGTGCACAATTTTAAAAGTTCATCATGATGATCAGGAGTCAAGCAGTAGATGTTATCTATAAAGTCATACTTTCTGTGAGCTGAAGGGGCATAAGGATTTTTCTCAACTTTATCTTTCATCTTTCATTGTCTAGCAAAATGAGAGTCAACACTCAGGTGTTGGCTGTGCCTTTCTCATTTGTAAGTTTTTAGAAACTTAAAAATGAAAAATAACTGTGAATGAAATTAAAAGGAAAGAAATACAGGAAATAAAAGAAATATTAAGAGGATGATTGTACTATAATTGCATTTTTACAGAGTCCAGCCTTAAGATGATAGGCAGTCACATAATGAGTATAATGTCTAGTATAAAAACATTTTTCTGTTTCTGAAAGCTGCTATAAATCATGTATACTTTGGAAGTCTCTTTTATGTTAATTAAGGAAGATGCAGCAAGTTGCAATATTTTATGGGAAGGGAGGCAAGTGCAAATTGTTGTGCTTTTTGCCTTATTGCAGAGCTGAAGAAAGAAAAGTTTCATCCAATTCTGAGTAGTTCCATGTTGTACTGTATGCCAGGAGGTTGGGAGGTAGAGGTAGCAATTTTCATTGACTTCCACCATACTGTGTTTGCTTCATTAAAAAATTACAAATTTGTTGGCAAAAAGCAGTAACATATTGCTAGAAAACATCAAAATTCACAGTGTAATTTCATAACTTAAATTTGTGTTCAAAACTGTGGTTTGTGAATTCTGTCTTTTCCTTTAAAAAAGAAGGAATTGGATAATAAAAAGATATAAAGGTCCTATTTCTAGGTAAGACTAAAGATTTTTAAGCTAAATATTCTCTTTCTGATGTATATCAGACTCACCAAAATCTTCATTAAGTGAATGGATTCTACAACATTTGGAATGGTAACCACAATAGAGAAATCATTGAAGTATCAATGCCTTATGCAATTATACTGTGTCTGATGTTATTTTGATGTGCATTGTAGAAGGGAAATAATATTTATTCCTGATTAATCTGAAAATATGGTATTATTTCTAACAGGTTTTTGTTTTCTTTTATTTCTACAGGAAGTTGCCCTTGTCCTTGCAGCTATACTGGTATTCTTGTTGGCTTTCTATGCTTTTTTTTATCTTAATGTTTCCAATGAAGTTGACCTTGATCTGGACCCAGAAGAAAACTAGCAGATGCAATGAATCTGTCATCAAGATTTCTTTAGCTTCAACAAGACTGCATAGAAACACACGGTCCCTTCACTGTAAGACAGTCAACTATGCCATTTCTTGCAGTCCAAATTCATAAGAAAGTTTTGCAATACGTCAGTCACATTCCAGGTCTCCAAAAGAAGAACACTTATGCCTGGCCAAGTGTATTTGTCTAACACCAAAGCCAGGAGCAACAGTACAATACATGAAGTTTATTGTTTACATTATGTTTTTCTCAGGCAGAGAACTTTGATGTCAAAAGACAGGTGCTACTATTATCATGGGTATTGATGCTGACTTCACAGGAGTGTCTGCCTTGACCAAATTTAGGAATCAGAGCTTCTTAATAACCAAATTCGTTTCCTGTTCCTTTCTGAAAGAAAGCAGAAATACCAAGTAAAAAGTCTTTTCTTCATTTGTGTTTATAATATATCAAAACACCCTCATCCTTTCTCTCCCTTTTAATCTTCCTTGTGCATGCATGTGTGCGCATGCTTGAAGATGGAAGAAATGGTAGGAAAAGACTATCTTCTTACAAGCAGTCTGTCACCTTCTATATGGACTTAATTTTCTGTCATTCCAGATTCTGTGTGCCCATATATCTGCAGTAATCTTTTTCATTCTTTTGCCAACTGTTCAGCACACATGTGTTCTGTTAGAAATGGCACCTGGATGACAGAAGCTCTAACATTCACATATGCTTCTGAAACACAGTTCTTTGCCTCCTGTGCTGTCTGAACTAGTGTAAATATAAAGTTTAGTCAATGTTGGTTTTAATTAGTGTATTGGTCTACTATTAATATAAAGTCAAAATTGTGTTTTAATTATGCTCTTCCTGATGGTTTTGGTATCAACTTGCTCTACCTATTAGGGGCATGTTGTATAAAAACATTCCTTTCCAGTTATAGAATCATATTAGTCATCAAACTAATGTGAGAGACTGTAAGTAATAAGAAAACACTTTTTCTCCTGGCGTACTAATAACTGGTAAATCTTGGCTCCATTACATCCCTCAGTTCTTGCAAAGTACCTTTCAAATTAGGCACTGTAGGGTAGCATTTTTGTTCCTTTTGATAGCCAAAAGTCACTTGAAGAATTTGGTGTGTCAGAGCAGCTGCAGGGAGCTTTAAAATTCTGGTTTTATCCTGTTCTGCTTTGATTTTGGCATATAACTGAGCTTGTGGATGTAAAGACTCAGTTTTAATCCTCTTAAAAGTGTGGTCAGTCTTTCTCTGACTGAGATTCAGTTCTGATTCGGTTTGACATCAAGAACATAGAGCCGTTGTTGCTGAATGTCGCAAGGAAATTTAGGCAGACTGACTTTCAGAAAAGTTTTCGTAATTCTGAGCCTTTGTCATAAATTTCAGAGCTGAATGTTAGGTGTAATTGCAACTGAGGTATTTACTGTCTTGTTCCCGAGATGGCTGGCTAAGATTTCTTGTAGTTATTTTGAAGACAAAGGGATACAAATCACAGCAAATATTATAATGGAAAATATATTTCTTTTAAATTGACACAGTCCCATTATCACCACTTAAGAAACTTGGATCAATACAGTTAATTTTTAAACCATACAGTAACTATGACCATATACTTTATGAGTCTCTAAGGATCCACTTCATATGTGTCATAGTGTTCATTCACTTTATGCCATGCAAAACAAGAAGTCCAGAAATTCAGAGTACAACAGTCTTCCGAAAAGTATATGAAAGAGAAATGTATATATGCAAATATATCTCATTTTCTATGTATGACTCTTACAGACACAAAATCCTGACATTTATGTATGCATATGACTTACAGTCCGCTACTAGTTGCACACTTGACCAAGCACCTCGCAACATGTTGAATTTATGGTGAAGCATTATCTGACACATGGCCCAACTTCCAGTGGAGGGAAAAGCATATCACAAGCTGTCTCCTTTGATGTGACATGCCTTTCACTCCACCAGCATCCAACCACATGTCACATAAGGTTGCAGACCTCTCCTGTTGCTTTACATTAGCAGTTTTCATGTTCTATAACATGCTGGAAGGATTGCTTCCTTAATGTCACATGTATGGTCTGAGAAAGACTCCCTTCATGCAGGTCATCTCATAACCTGCTCTCTCTGTTCGTTGTGTTAAAAAGCAAGCAATTCTTACTGTCAAATTTATGAATAAGAAGTTCCTAGAACAGGAATATTCCATTTCCCATAACTGTAAATAAGACCAAATCTGAAGTGCATATATATGTGATTGTATCCGCTTCCCTGATGTGTGGCTTATGAGTCCATATTGCCCACAGTATGCCATTTGTCTGTTGGCTTTGTTTGGATTAGGTCTTTTCATTTGCATGAAAGATCACAGAATCATGAAATCATTGAATGGTTTGCATTAGAAAGGATGCAAATGATATCTATTTCCAACACCTCTCTCATGGGCAGAGGCACCTTCTACTAGAGCACATTGCTCAAAGCCCCGTCCTGCTGTCAAACACTTCCAGGGATGGGGCGTCCACAGCTTCCCTGGGCAACCTGTTCCAGCGCCTCACCACCCACAGAATGAATAATTTTTTCTCAATGTCTAATCTAAACTTTTAGTATGAATCAACTCTGTCTCGTGCTGTTACTACATGCTTTTGTAAAAAGTCAATCTTTTTGTAGGCTCCCTTCAGGTACTAGAAGGATATTCTCATGTGACAGGAAAATTTCTTTTTGCTTAGACCGGGTAGACTTCTGTTCAGTGTATGTAGAAATACGTGGTAAATGCTGCAGCAAATACACATCTTCTCTTATCAATACAATAATTCCTAATGGGACATGTGGTTTATTTTGCCCTTAATTATATCTGAGATTGAAATATGCCTTTTGGATTTTGGACCATCTATCTTTGTATGAGTTGCTCGGTGTCTATTTTATTAATAAATGATTTTTTTTCTATTTTGGTTCTCTTATTAGTGTTGAACACACTGATTTATGTATACATCTGAAAGGACATTAATCTAAACAGCAAAATGATCAAAAGTAAGCATTGATGTCAGTTTTAGAATATCTGGATAACTTTAGGCTGTTCTAGCCACTAAACTCATATAAAACTAAATGTGGCCTATGAATACTTAAAAGACAACGGAGAGAACTTCCTTTGGCATCCTACCCAATACTGATAGAGAGATCTCCTTCTGGAGTTTATCCATGCAGCTCTATCACTTGAGTTGTACGAGACTTTTTTATTATAAAATTTTATATGCTTGTTTCAAAGAAGGATTACTGATCAAATAATTTACATGGCAAACGTGGCTTAATGAGTTTTTTCAAAGATATTCACCTGAAGGAAAACATAGACATCAGTAGTTAGCCTATACTCCTGGAGTAAACTGAATTTCTTTCCAGCAGAGGTTGTGGAGGAGATGCCTGTTCTAGGTCCTTGTGCTGTCAGAAGGAGCAGATGTCCTGTCTGGAAGAATCTCTGGCTAGGAAGGCATAACAGTCTTCCAAAAGTGATTTTGCTCAGCAAATCTTCCTAGGTGGTTTTCCCTTTCTCTTTGATTCTTCAGAAGCAGAACCAGCATGTAGACCATCTCAGGACAGAAGCCACAGTCTATTATTTTTGCTAGTGCTTCTAGTGAACATTGCCAAGGAAAGGCTCTAGGCTCTACTACCTAGAGTCCATAAACATATTTTACTGGAAGCTTAGGAGGCACGTTAAGCATTTCCCTAATAGACCCTAGAGATACATTTAAACTTTTCTTGAATGCTGTAGTTGAAGTTCACTGTTGCATATCATATAGACACCTTGTGATTCAGAATCAGCTCCTTCCATGCATCAGACCAGCTGTAGCTGGTCTGGAGCAGGACTTGTAGACTGGGAGATTGTGCTGCAACACATAACTGCCAATAGCTTCAACATGAGCAAACTCTTCTGTTTACTTAGATGTTCTCTAGAGCAGCTGACCTAAAAGTTTTGTTTGAAAACACAGGTGTTGAGCAATTCTACTAAAGGAGAGCACAGTGAAAGCCCTGCAAACTGTTCATGCCTCTTCCATGAAGGTTGCTACTGTGGAAGGGCTCATCTGCTGACTTAGGGCCAAGTTTTGAATTTTCAGAAGGAAAATGCTGCTGGGAGCTCCCAGCAGAGTGATGATTGATAAGGGATTGTCGTCCCTGTAATGCACAACTGAGCCAGTTGGTGAAGGTCAAATGCATTCAGGACGATTCTCTGTAGAGAACGTACTTGAAAAGCAGAGTAGGCAAGTTAGAGTGCCAAAAAAAAAGATAACTACAGATCTTGATCGCATTTCAAGTTCTACTTACAGTAGCATAGTAATTAGTGGTGCTTATGACTAAGGAAATAACAGTATGGCACATCAATAAGACAGCAGAAATGCGATATTGGAACTGCATCCTAAAAGATTTTACAGTGGATTATGCCTGCACTTTGGGAAGTGAAGCCATGAGATGAATAAATTGGCAAAGATTATCTGTGATCTTATGCTTACAATATTTTTTCCTGAAAGAGCCAGTGGAGATATTTTGCAGTACTTTTCTCCATCATCCTCTCAGTTTGCCATAATGCATTTTTGTAGATGTATTTCTTTCTACACATTTCCAAGAGTGAAAATATATTTTTTTTGCAGTTCATCAATTCATTTAATTGACAGAATCCTCTACTCATCCTTTTATCCCCCCTTAATCACAATCAAATTAGTGGGGAGACAGCCAAAATGTTAGGTACCAGTGTCTCTCAAGCAGATGTCACACCACTATTTTTTAGCTCGTTTAAATGAATAAACATGTTAAACTGTGAAGTATTACATTTTAGATTTTTTCATTAAAAAAAAATGGGACAATCTGTTTACTGTCCTTAATTGAGACAACAATCCTGGTGGTTGCCAGTTTTGGCAGTTGTAATGATGAACTATAAATATTGGGACAGACTGACTGATGATTGTGGAGGATAGTTCAAGTACAATACTCATTCTGCATGAATACTTTTTTCAGTGCTAAGTTTTTTCTAGCTTCTGTGATTGTTGTACTGGTTTCGCATGTTAAAAACAAATAAATACCTGACTAGTCAATCAATGGGCTTGATTCTGTTGTCTTATTCTCCATAGCTACATACAGCACAGAAAAGCTGTCCACCCTGGACCGCAGTTCATGCCTTGCCCAAACTCTCCCTAAAAGGTGTATGTCCACATCAGTTACAAAAATGAGCTACAAAGAGCTTTGTTTTGCTGGACTGTGGAAAAACTGAGCAGCATAAAGATCTTTAGTACTCTTTTTGCCATTTCACAAAGATACTGTAAAAATTTAAAATAGTGCAACCACGGGAGGTGAGTATGGAGTTCGGTGACAAACAGATGTCATTGTTCTATTGCACTTCCTCCAGAAACAAGATTGGAAGAAAATCAAAGCAAAATGGTCAGTTCTTCCAGGAGCCAACCACCTCACAACTCATCATGTTGCTCAAGAAGTGCTAAGTCTGATATCAAGTCAGAGCTACCACAACTTCGTCTTTTTCATAGGATGATAAGAGGGC